CCCCAGGGAGCTAGCCGCGGGTGGTCAACACGACAGACAGGCAGATTCGGTCGGCCCATCACGCGCAGGACAACCAACAAGAGGGCACAAACTGGTGTGACCAAAAACACCACATCACGATGGATCCAACCGCGCCCGCACCCCCTCGTCATGGACCCAGAGGCAAGCAGTCCGGGTGCGAGGCGGCCGCCTAGATCGATGGCCCGGAGCGCCCCAGGGAGCCAGCCGCGGGTGGCCAACGTGCAACAAACAGCGCGGAGGACATTTTCACACGCAGAGGCTCCCCAGAGATGGGTACTCCAACATTCTTTATAAAAGTATAATAAATACTCCCTCTGTTCCTAAATATTTGTCTTTCTAGACATTTCAAATGGCTACTATATACGGATGTACGTAGACATATTTTAGAGTGTAGATCCACTCATTTTGCTCCGTATGTAGTCACTTGTTAAAATATCTAGAAAGACAAATATTTAGAAACGGAGGGAGTATTAGGTTAGTCACCTGCTCATCGTTGCAATTGTACATGAAGCACTTGCAAGATAGTTGTTTATTTCCGGGACTAGGAGTTCTAAAACCTGGACCATGGGATCAAAATAAATGGACGGTGGACAAGGGAAGAGCCGTTTTCCTTCTCAAAATAAATAGAAGCAAAGTGCTTTACATGGAACCATAAGATTCATCAACTGGGGACATCCATGGTGCACAAAAACCAAGCGAGAGATAACATGGTTCAGCTGAATCAAACATCCATGTAGCGAGACAAGCTGACCGACATAGTTGCATCATCCATGCAAACTCAAGTACTTCCAATAACATATTTCTGCTTGATATATAATACCTAGAAATATATGCGTGAAGTCATCTCACTTCTCAAATCCAGCTCATTACTACTAATCACCCCACAAGTTTTTAGTGCTGCTACCACAACATTATCTCATATATAAGTCTTGCTAGGAGGATGAAAGGGCTTTATCTCCATCGGCATGAGGTAAAGATCTAGCCATCATTGGATAAACCAACGATAGTGAGATCTGCCTTCACAATGCAGCTCGACCCTACAACATAGCCTTTCTTGAGTTTCTTGAGAGCAAGAAAGTTAGGCCAACCCCATCCGCCATCACATATGAAGAGACCTGTGATCACCACAAAAGTAAGATCAACTGTAATCATCATGAGGTTACAAAAACTAGCTGCTTGAATCACACATATCAGTAGCACTGGTACTTGCTAAGGAGAGTTGAACCTGAAGTTTTAGTCAAGTGTTTCCCATTCTTTTGGTTCAGGATGGACAGAGTCATTACAGCCACCTTCTTGGACTCGAGATGGAGCTCATTCGAGGCATCCAGGGATAAGTACAAGCTGAGGCAATCAGTGCTGTACAAGTCACCACGCGGGTACATGCTGATGCACCTGTTGCAAAAATATAATTAGGTACCCGGCAACATTTTATTTACAGAATGTGGTTAGTTATTGAAATCAGAAAGTTGTGGCTGAGCTTGGGTGTAGCCAGCCATCAACTCTGGACACAACTTCATGGCATTACACTTGTACAAAAAATTTAAGCAAACCATGACTACGGTACAAGATAATACAATGTTCCGCAAAAAGAATCTGAGAAAATAACTGATGATATGTGACACATACTAGGACCATACCAAATATATATGTCAGAATGAAATTTCTGTGAAAAATATATCCTAAACAACATAACATATGACCATGACATTTTACGCCAACATAGATTTTAGTACTACATTGTTTCAAATTTGTTCCTGAATTTTGGCACACCGTGATTACAAAACCCCTATGCTATTGAAATTGGAATGTGCTACCACATATCTGTAAATATCTGTATTGCATGCTTAGAGATCAAGCTAAAATATCCAGTTGGAATATCTGGAGGACTGGTAAGCTAAAGGATACGTTTAAGCTAAAATGTTGGATAGCACATGCATACCATTTATATAAATTACTTGTGATGTAACTGTCTAGTTGGTAATAGGTGCATACCATTTATGCCCGCCAACTTCAAATGTAGGAGAACGGACACAGTGATCCAAGTCCAGTTCAAGGAAATTGTTCATGTTCCAGGTGTATGTCCCTTTGACGAACCCCTTCTCCTGGACAAAGAGGTTCTGAACTGTGGTAGCCTTCTTCTGAACCACAACAGCCTTCTTTTCAGGAGAGCAGACATCAATTTTTAATATCTCCACAGCAAAGACACAACCATCATCAACTAGAAAAGCAGATGATTTCAGCAGCTTCTTAAGAGGAATCAAGCAATGCTCCTTCGAGTAGAAATTCTTGAAATCAAAGTTGTAGCTAGCTGTGTTTAGATAAAGGTTAGAAGATTAGAGAACAAATAACTTGTACATAAGGTGCAAATATACCAAATTATATATAGCCACCCCCCACTAAAAACAGGTATATACTCCCTCCGTAAAGAAATATAAGAGCGTTTAGATCAATAAAGTAGTTCTAAACGTTCTTATATTTCTTTACAGAGGGAGTATTATCTATATAACCAACCATCACCCCAGTTCAGAAAGCCAGAGAAGATACCAAGATAGTGAACTACATCCAAATAATGTTGATCAAATTTAAAGAGAACATGTGTATGTAGTCCGAATCAGACAAACTTAACGGCAAAAAAAAAAGAATAATTACAAAACGACTTCATGGCAAAAGTAATATTTGATCGTAATGATGAAACCATGGTATTTATATCTCAAACTTATGACACGCAGACTATGGACTCCTAGCTGTAATAGGATGGATGTGCTTGAAAAAATAAATCCATAAGACTACCTTTGCATCCATAGTACATTCCTTTTGAATGGTTGCATATTGACAACTCAAACACCGCATGCACTGTGTGAGCTGGCACCAAGCTTAGTGTGGATGACGCAAGACGAAGGGCAACATATGGAGTTACAGAACCAGCTTCTTTATGCATTAGACTCACTTGCAGGTCCCTGGAAAATGAAATCATGGGAAGAAACCCAAGTCAGTCTAGAATTCATAACTGAAGTAGGAGTGAAGTCTAATTTCTTCACTTCATGCACCGTATCAAGCGTTAGCATCTGACTATTTGTTTATGAGACATATAATGTGTATTAGAAACAAACCATATGGTATTTACATCTAATACATAAACTCTGCAGAGTTTCTTTTGCAATTATGGTACATACCAGTTATAACCAGAGCAGTGAAAAGGGCCAGATGTTGCTCTCTTAGATCCAGTCTTAAGCAGTGATGAGAAGTCATCAATCCTCCATTCGAAATCTGGAACATGGGTCTTTCCGAAGTCCCGAATCCTCCATTCTGGATCCGGAACAACATGGGCCTTTCCTAGGAGTGCACGAGCTGATGTTTGCACAAGTGCAATAACTCAAAATTACAAAACAAAGAAAGAGAGAACATGCAATGGAAAAATTCATGTGCATGTCGCAGTTCCAATAAACAGGCTACAATATCGGCCACCACAAGAATGGCCAACAACATATAAGTTCTTTATCTTCTGATTATACGAATCAAACTCTTGAATGCAACTATTTGTGATATGTTATTCATGTAACCAAGCAAGGGTAGAACAAGGCAGAAGATACTTGTAGTTTCTTATATATCATTAGTCTGATATATCAACAAGATATCAAGACCAACTAGTTAGCAATCTTGCTAATTTATCAACATGATGGTGATGGCAAGTACTTGTTCAATTCAGAGCTAGGATTTCATATTCTTACCTTGACTTTTGCCAAGGAATTAATGCTGCCAATTGCATCTAAGTTTTAGTTTATAAAACATACAGTCCAATACCAAACATCACGATTGACCAGAGAAACATACATGAACTCTTGCAGTTGCCCATAGATCTGCCCCTTCCTCTTCTCTCCTCCTCTGCAAGTAAGATTAAATCATACCACATCTCAGAGAAAGGTAGCAGATCATGCAAATAGTACTGTACTAATTACCACGGCAGACAAATAATATTATCACGCCATAGTGCAGGGTTAAGAGCATACAGAATCTTCAAAGGTAGAGCCAATCTTGGCCAAAATAACTACCACGGCAAGTGAAAATTATTGCCGGCGAGAAAAATAAAGGAGAGAACAAGAAGCAGAAATCCCTACACACGAGCGGGTCGATTAAAAATCTACGCGCTTTAGGCTTTAGCCCTCGATTGATTACGAAAGAAGCCAAGAACTTGCAGCGCGAAACCTTGAATCCCTGTTTCGTGAAAAGAAAAGGAAAAACTGCAAGTCTGAAAAACCCTCAAGTCGAGAAGAAAAAGTGAAGAAGAGTAGGATGCGATAATCCGCGGT